GCGGTCAGCCGTGGGAGGAGCTTCTGTCCTGCTTCGCTGAGAGCGCGTGCCACTAACAGGTGTTCTCTCGGACGCCTTTTCTGCCTACGGTGGGATGATCGGACAATCGTGCTTCTCTGCTCTGCTGATGCGCCGATTTCATCGATTGATCTCGCACATTCTCCTATTATCTTTGTCGGGTCTTGGTATCAAGGTTACGCTGACCTCCTAAAATGGTTTGGGCGCATGGCCTTCTCCTTTGTTTTCTGATAACGTTTGCCTGAAATGTTTGCCAGAATTTACCGGTGAGGGCTTCTGAGAGGGGAGTGTTTTTTATGGGATGGGTTTTTTTTAATGAATTCAGTTTTTTTAATAGATGAGGGGTTCTTTAGATTGTAGTTTTGGTGACCTGTTCACCAGGGCACGCCTGTGTTTCGTCTAAGCTGTCGAACGTGTCAGCACGAAGTCATCGCGACGTCCCTTCGCTGTCCTTCGGTGTCAGTGTCTGTGGGACGTCTGGTCACTTCCCCGTCCGTTCCTGACGTTGGCAATTTGTGTGTTGTTTTTGTTGTGGACCAGTCTTGCTACAGGGCTGTCAATTTTATTAATCTTTTCAAAAAACAACGTTTGCCTGTATCGTGTTTCTCTATTATTTGTTTTCTGTTGATATCCATGCTTGTTTTTATTATTCCTTTTATTTTACTTGCTTGGGTTTTAATTTGCTCCTCTTTTTCCAGCTTCCTATAGTAGAAGCTAAGACAATTGATTTTAAACATTTCTTCTGTTCTGATACGAGCGTTTAAAGCTAAACATTTTCCTCGAGCACTTTCTTCGCTGACTCTCCCAAATTCTGACAGATGCTGTTTCCGTTATCACTCAGGTCAAAAAGTGTTATGATCTTCCTTGTGATTTCCTCTTTGAGCCACAGATTATTCACACTTATGTTGTGTAATTCCCAAATATTTGGGGGATGTTCTAAATATCTTACTGTTCTTTATTTCTAATTCCCATCTGTTAGGGTCAGAGATCGCACTGCATGTGGAGTTTAATTTTTTTGTAAGTGGCTTGAGATTGTCTTGGTGACGATCCTACGGACACCTAAGGCAAGCGTGTCTTCCGCCACTGCCAGGCGCAGGCGTCTGCAAACGCGAGTTAGGGCACGTTGGCCGTGTTCGGGCTCCTGCGTGCTCTCTGATGTCTTCGTCCCTTTTTCTGTCACCCGCTGATGGTGGGCACTCACATCTGCAAGGCTGAACGTGGTTTTGTCTGTTGCTGTCTTTAACGCTGTCCGTTTTCTTCGTGAATTTCGAAGGTCTGTTGTCAGGAGCGTTAAGTCTTTGTGATGAATTGACTTTTCCCATCATTGTGAAATGTCCCCTTCACCTCTGGTGACACTCTCTGCCTTGAAGTCTGTGTGTTTCCTTTGCTTGGGCCACTCGTCCCTCTCCACAAAACGCGTGAACCGTCCATGCTTCCTGTGCTCTGCCTGCCGGGAGGGTTTCCCTCGCGCTATGTCTCGGGAACCTGAGCCAGGACAGCCCATCTGGGTTTGCACCACAGGCCAGGCCGCCACACCCACCAACCGGACTCCAGGTTTTCTTCCATCAGCTGGTCCCGGGGACCTCTCGCAGCCATCTGTGTGCAGTGCGGGGAGGCACGGGTGTGCACGTGTGGTGATGAGATGGCTCACGCCATTGTCCATGCAGCTGGCTTGTTCCCACCCCCCTGCTTGGCCTGATGCTGAATGGGCCACGTCCACGTACAGTGGCCCTGCCACTGCCATCCCCAAACCCATGGCCCTGCCACACTCGGCTCGTGGTGGGCAGCTCGGTCATACGGTTACTTGGTGTCCCCTGGCCTGGGCTCCTTCCCTGCTGGGCCCAACATCATGCCACACGCTGCTGTTCGAGTGGCGAACAGTTCTCTGCTGCAGAACGTCAGCTCCACGCCGGGGCCTGCCAGAGACGCCACGTGGTGCCGCTTTCTGCTGTGGGTGCCACGAGCACCACGCTGTATTGTGTGGCATGAACCTGCTGAACAGGCTGCCTGCGTGGTTCCCCACTCAGAACTAACAGCCTCTGAGTCACCCGGTAAGTGGGTGTCCCTAAGTGCAGACTCCAACGAGGCCCCCCAGGTCGGCGGGGGGACAAGGCAACATCTCCTCCTTCACCTTAGAAGCAACGTCTCGGCGTGTCCCAGGCCGCTGGGCCTCTGAGGTCTGCACCGATGGGTCAGACCCCGGGACTCTGGTATCTCCCACCCTTTGGAGTGAATGCATCTTACGAAGCATCCGAAGAACCTGCCAGGTGCAGCCCGCGGTTCTGATTAGCTGCTGTCATCAGTGCAGTGACCCAGCATGACAGTCTACAGAGCACCTGGGTGATGACAGCCTGCTAGGCCCACGTGGTGACACAGAGCCAGAGCGTGACCCCGCCTGGGTCAGACCGTGGGCTCACACTGTCCCCTCTCCCAAGGGAACGCAGACTGTCTCTGCCCCTCCCCACGGTGAGGCTTGGAAGGAGCCCATTCCCCAGCCAGGGGCCACCTGGCAAATCCCGGAGACCCCGCCGTCCTGCTCTACCGAAGATCACATGTCCGGCGCAGCACCCGGACCGCAGGTCACAACTTGGTCAAATTCACGTAACCCACCATCATCCACGCCACCACCACAATCTGTCTGGTTTTTGCTGGCGGATTAAAGTTCTTGCGGGGGCAGGAGATCCTGTCACTGCACCCAGGATGTGGTGTGTCTGCTGCCAGCTGGGTGATTTGGGCCGTGGGAGGGGGATGGTTTCAGAATCTTCCCCGGGGCCTTCCCTGCTACCGCAGCTCTCACCCCTCCCAAGCACACCATCCCGATCCACGCTCAGACACCCAGCAAATGGCCACGCGGTGGGCCTGGGCCGTTTGGACCCGCTAGGCACCAGATGTGGACCAAGATTCTGTCTCCTACAAGCCCCACCCTATGACGGGGGCAGGATGGCATTTGGGGGGCCCTGCACTGGTGTCAGCTCAGGCGCTGGGTCCTACAGCCCTCAAGGGACCTGGACATCTCCTGCCATCACTGTGTGGTTCCTTTCGGAGGAGTCTGGGGAGTGGCTGCTACACACTTGCTGTGCAGTGGCAGGTCCCCTTGCCCCCTCCCAAGAGCCCAGGGTGAGGGCTGAGGGGTAAACGCCCCTGACAGGCCAAAGAGGACGGGCGGCAGGAAACGCCCACCGGGCTGGCCCATGGGGGTCACCGGGCCACAGGCCGGCTACGGTGGGCGGACAAGAGCATGTGAGGTGGGGACACAGAGTGGCCGGCACAGACAGGGGCGTCAGATGCTAGGAGGGGGCATTTCACGTCAGAGGGGCACGTCCAGTGACGGGGAAGCAGAAGGACTGGTGCCGGGCAGTGGGCCTCGGGCCGTGGCGCCCCTGTGGGCTGCAGTGCCCTCTGTGAGCGAGGACGCGGGCATGGCTGGAGCCGTCCCGCACACAGGCTGCTTCTACCTCTGTGTTGCTAGGGGGACGTTTTTCACGGGGACACACAAGGAGTGGAGGGCGCCGTCTCTATGGGTAAATCCAGTGCACGCTTTTATCTCAGACCGAACATACAGCATTTCATCACCAAGGAGTGGCGGACGGTGCGGGCAGGACGAGCCCTCCGGCTCCAGGCCTCCTGCAGAAACGCGGTTTTCTTGACCACATCGCACGGCTGGGCCGACAAGCGTCGCGTGAAGGCCTCACACCTTCCCCGGGCCCTCACCCGCCGACGAGGCCCTGGCCACCTGCCCGGAGCTTTCGGGTTCTCAGAGGCCGTAACCCCGTCCCCCGCAGTCTGAGGGTGGTCCTGGGGACAAAGTCCCTCCACCACCCACCTCACGGAGAAGCCCGTCCCTCCTGCAAACGTTCCGGGGGCTCCCGTGGTGCAGCGCAGAGAGGCTGCGGGCCAGTAGAGGCCGGCGGCCGGCTCAGCTCTCCTCGCCACCCAGGGTCCTGGTCTTCCGGAAGATGCTCTGCATGGCCGAGATCCGGTCCTCATCCTGGATGTTGAAGACCTGGAACTGCAGGTGGGGCCGTCACAAGCATGCAGGGCAGGAACACGCAGGGAACTCGCCGCCCTGGGCCCCGCCTGCCTTACTGCCCCAGGGAATCCAGCTGGAAGGGCCCCCGCTGGCGACCGGCCCTGGCATCCTTCCCCCACCTGGCCTTCCCCTCACGCAGGTACCCTGGCCTGGGCCCGGCACAGAGGCGGCCCCACTAGGTGCAGCTGAGAGCTGACTGTGCGTCACCCCCGCACACACACACAGGACAGAGCAGGGCCCATCCCTCCCGGGCTGCAGACTTTGGGTACCAGTTAGTAAGTTGGCGGTGGAGAGGTGACTCCAGGAGGCTACTAGCCTCTCAGCGGCGGGACTTTGCCAAAATGGGCCAGGAGAAGCCCAACAACACGGCAGCCCCTGCCCTGCCGCCACTGGGACGAGGCTGGCTGAGAATCGCCGGAGGAGCCCCGGACGGAGGCTGTGCCTGCTCCTGGAGGGAGGAGAGGCCAGGAGGAGGAGCAAGGTGGGCTCCGTGGGGGTGGGGAAGGGCAGGCTGTGCCAGCCGGCAGAACCGGGGGGCTCCCTCCAGGAGGGGCAGCTGGCAGAGCAGCCAGGCACCCCCACAGCCAGCCGGAGGAGGCGGGGACCCCAGGGGCCTGGGGGTGCTGCAGGCGTCTGTCCCCGTGAGGCCAAGGAAGGCCACACCCTTTGATGAGGAGCAGAGCCCCAGGGTGGGCAGGTGTGTGGGCGAGCCTGGTGGAAATGGGTTCCGGTTCACCAGGAGCAGCCCTGGCCCGCCTGGCCCCAGGCAACAGGTGCCGGCGCCTGCAGGAGGCCCTGCAGCCAGTGGCGCCCACCTTGTCCAGCAGGACGTCGAAGTAGGCGGTGGCCCAGTAGGCGGGGTTGCTGGCGGGCAGCTGCAGGAGGGCCTTGACCCCGGTGCCGATGCGCGGCGGGGGGGTGCGGTCCAGGTGGGTGACGTGGATGCGCAGGGACCCCTCGGGCTGGCTGGCGAAGGCCTCCACGCGCTGGTAGATGGCGTTGAGGTCCAGGCCGCTGTCCTGCAGCAGGTTGTGCTCAGGTTGCAGGAAGTGGGGCAGGTGCCTGGTGGCCAGGCAGCTGAGCAGCACCACCAGCAGGCGGTACACGGCGCCCTGCAGCTCCGCCCAGTCCTCGGGCGCGGGGAACAGCATGGAGGCCCACAGCAGCACCGTCTGCGGGAGG